ACTAAAAGCAATAAGCTTAACCACAGTTGAAAGTCATTTTATGTTGTTTGTACCATGGTTATTAGAATGGATACTAGTGAAGCCTTGGTTCTTCTTTTGATTTGTTCAACTAGTTGGACCACTTGTCTAGAACAATTTATATACAAGGCAAAGATGTCACCTTAGGGTTTGTCTGATGGACTAGGACTAGTTGCTAGCCATGACTAAAAAATAGGCAGCTAAAAATTAGCATAATTGTTAGTCGTTGCCAATGTGGATCCTCAGCTAAAAAATAGCTCCTAGAAAATACCCTCCCTACTACCTTTTTCTCTCACCAGACTAGAGAAAGAATAGAAGATAGAGATGACTTTTTTTGATATATGTACCACTTTTAGCCCTTGTTAGTTGGGTTTGAAGGACCGGTAAACTAGTAACTAGTTAGGACTTTAACTAAATTTAGTCCAGTCCTTCTGTTTTGATTCTCAAGGGCTAAAATTTAGCAACTAGTTGTTAGCTCACGGAAACTAAACATACCCTTAATCATAAGATTCAACACATTACACAACTTGGTGATAGATCATCTTGTTCCCACCTTAGTCCCAAAGGCCTCTATGAGGTAAGACCGCAAGAGCATGTTTCTAGCCACTTTGACTTTCGTACAGGACATTGCAAGTATCTGGCAATACAAAATATTATATAATGAGGTGTTGATTAAAAAGTAGAATTGTCGGGTTCATAAACCCGAGGTCCCTAATGAGCCCGCTTCCCAGTAAAAGCTCGGCCCAATAGACGACATTACAGATGACGCGCAACTCCTGAGCCGGCCCATATACCTAACAACAGGCCAGAAGAGCAATCCAGTCTCCGACCGGAAGGCCTCCGACTCCAGCCCGCTTCTCCGACCGAAAGGCCTGGCCAAGGAAGGGACGACGCTCACTTCCGACTACGAACTGCTTCTCCGGCCGGAAGACGTGGCCAAAGAGGGGACGACGCTCGCTTTCGACTCTGACCCGCTTCTTCGATCGGAAGTACACCGAACCTCTGCTTATAGCTCTTTCTCTGACCGGCGCGGTCGGAGTCGACTGGGAATGACTGAACGGGGACACCCGCTCGGTAAGGACCCAAGAATCAGGCGGAGCAGATAAGGCATGGCGCTCAAGTCAAACCGCAATACCGAGGACCGTATCCTGCACACCTGCAGGACAGTACCGCCAGAACATGTCAGAAGGATGCTCTGCAACCTTCCAGATATGTCAGAACACGAACAGTGTTGTGGGCGCCAACATTTGTTCTACAGTATGGTAGGCACCGATATTTGCCATACCAAAAGAACACGATGGGGTCTACCACATGCATCTAGGCGTCAACAGTATTGTGGGTGCCGATAAACTGTCTTGTACCCGACGACGTGGGCAACAAGACGAAGTAGCACACACACTCTCTTTCTCTCTCTCACTTATAAGGCCATCCCCTTAACATATAAAAGGGGATGCGCTCTCTCCCAACAGAGGAGGATCGAGGGACGATCGATGACAGACGGATCATTCTGACTCTCTCTCTCTCTGCTAGCTTTAGACATTCTGAGTGCTCGAATAGCTCCACGGCTCTAGAGCTCTAAAGCTATACAGAGCATACGTTCGAATACTTAGCGCACGTAGGAGCTCCCGTCACTCTCGGCCCTTCGGTCCAGAGTTCGACCGGATCTCTAACACCCCCATCTTATTCTCACTCGTTTGTAACCCCACAATAAACTTTGAGCACCTGGGCTCAGGAATAAAGTCACCAACTGACTTAAACTGGACGTGGGGCATATTGCCTGAACCAGTATAAACCCTGTGTCATTGAGTGCTAGGCCACATCTGACCACAACGTACGGCAAAACGATAAATATTTACTAGTTGGTCACTTTTCGCACCGACAAGAATAATTATTTAAAAAACAATATAATACAATGGCCACTTTCTTATCATTTTCTTTTGCTACCATATTAGAGATGGCACTCTATAGCTTTTTTCTCGCAACACGAACGTATAATGATTTTGTTCTCCATTATCCCTATTTCTAAGGATAACCAATTACATATAGTACATTATATCGAGTACATTCAAACATACAATTACATCCACATATAGCAAAATATAGCCTCAACATTACATTTGGATATGTTTTGGTTGTGTAACTATTTCTTCTCCTCATAGAACTATACAACTTACAAGCTATTTGGCTGATGGTTTTTGCGGCTGATAAACCGGCTACGGCTGTTTTGTTATGAGAGAAAAAATACTATTCCATGACTGATAAGTTTAAGCGAACATGGTGTTTAGTTATTATTTACAGTCACCTATAATTGATCAAAGCTCTAGTATATATTAAACAAATCATATTTATAAGTGTCAGGAAGCATTTTATGGTGGATTAATTAGAACTAGGATGATGACATAGATACGAGTGATTTGTGAAAAAGTAAAAAAAGACGGCAATGACGTGCAATTAAAAGGAAAGCGTAGATGGTAGTTGATGATTAAGTTTCTCTCGAGACTAAAAATAACTGCAAGAGTCTCTTTATATTCTTTCTAATTGATATAATATAGATTTTGGTGAATAAATACTATTCAATAGCTTCTCTAATCAGATTTTTAAATATTGTTATCCTCTATTATGGATTTGAGCAAAGATGATTCTCTAGAGTAGACATAAGATATAGGGTGTGGCTACCGCCCGAACGTCTGGACGGACACACACGTCCGGACGCCCCCATCCGGACACCCGCGCAGCCTGCTCCTGTCCGCCTCGCAACACCCCGCACGTGCACCCCGCCCTAGTCATTGCGCCCGCGGCTCCTTCCCAGCGACACCGCTCCCGTCTCTCCATGTGTGTGGGACCCAGAAGCCGAAATGAGGATGAGCACGCCCTGTCCAGAGGACCCCAGGCGCGCCACGCGCCCCGACCGCTGGCCCCCAGCGCGCCCCATTCGCGGGCACCTAGCTCACCGTGCCCTATCCCCAGCGCCCAGGCCGCGCCCCAGGACTCTCTGAATATACCTATGAAATATGAAACACTTGCAACATAAAAACACTTGAATGCAACATATGTCTAAAGCTGATGAAACATTTGAAACATACACTTGAAACATATGTATGAAACCTATGCAACATCCAGATAAAACACTTGCAACTTCAACATGAAAACATTTACTGCAACATAAGACCAAAACAGCTAAAATCATTGGAACATACTCTTGCAATATGTGTGAAATATATGTAACATCCAAAAAACACTTGCAAACATATGTCTAAAAACAGATGAAACATTTTGAACAAACGCTTGCAACATGTCTCTGAAATACTTGCAACATATGTAACATCCAATCTACTTTTACAATATCCACATGAAACACTTGTAACATACCTATGAAACATCTGAAACACTTGAAATATACGCTTGCAACATGTCTCCTGACCGCTTGGCCTGAGCGCAGCGGAGGACGGAGCACGCCATGGCGCAGCAGGGGACGGAGCGCGGGGATGGGGGGCACCGCAGGGGATGGCAGCGGCGGCTCGCCGGAGTAGGCTTGGTGGGAGGCGACGCAGTTGAGTGGGGTGGGCGGCCACGCCATGCGGCATGGAGTGTGGGGAGAGGAGCACGGAGCAGTGCGGGATGAGAGCGGATGCAGCTCCGCGCGCTATAGAGAATGCCACGACGAGCGCCCTCGCGCTGCAGTGGCGGACCTAGGATTTGAAACGAGGGTAGTCCTAATCAAATTTTTTCAACACAATACAATAAAATCTGAAAAAATTCGCTGACCAAAAAAAATTGCAATAAAATCTAAAAAAGTTGCAATAAAATCTAAAAAAGTTCAGTGACTATAGATCCAATCAGCCCAAGCCCTTCTCTCGCTCGATCAACATCGTCAATGGGCCTACCTGTCAGCTCTTCCCTACCTCTCATTGTCGCCTCCGCCATATCGCTTTAAGGCCAGGCGACGAGGAGGCTTACGCGCGCCTAAGTTCATGGGACCGAGCACCATGAGCCAGACCCCCTCCCGCTATCGCTGGCGTCCGGCCCATCAGACTACGCCTCAACGCGATCGCTCGCGCTTCGACCCACTCTCCCACAAGAATCAATCGCGGCCGCCATTGACAATGAGAGCTCACGACCTGGCCCTTCCTCCTCCCCTCGCCCTCGGTCCATAAATCCCGCCCCTCAAGACCGCAAGAACCACACGCCGCAACCGCTCCACCCATCCCCGAACCTCTCTCTCCCCAAAGTGCCTCCATCCATCGCCGCCACCGCATGGACAAACTCCATCTCGAGCTCCCCGATCTCCCAACTCGAACCCCTCCCGCAGCAGCGAGCACGGTTGTTGCGCCACCCCGGCTCAAATCCCTCGGCTCCGACTCCCTTCCCATTGCCGCGCGCGCAGCTCGTCCCCGGCCGGAGGGGGTGGAAGGAGGTCGGCCACGGGCGGCCATGGATGCGGCCCTAGAGTCCTTGGCGAGCTGCCCGGCGGCGGGTAGTCCCAGGCCTATCTGGACTACCCGCTGGGTCCGCCACTGTCGCGCTGGAAGAGAGCGTGGTGTCGTTTTTTTTGGAGAAGCGCACTGACGAGCAACGTTGGATAAGGCGGAGTGCGGGCACGCGACGTCCGGACAGACGTACGCTCGCATCATATCATTATCGTAAGATATAGAGAAATTGTTGGAAGACGAAAGATACCGAGAATGGTTTCTATTCCAATAACTTTTTAAACTATGATCTGGAAAGACACATAAACCATTTTTATTTAAATAGCTTTTAAAATAGTGATTTAGAGATTAGACCGTGACGATGGCACGAGATAGTGAGTCTCTTTTTAATCCGTCTCGCCTGTCACTCCGTCAGTCCGTCAGTTCCGGTCTACGGGCCAAAGCCAAACCGCCGACTGCGGGGGCTTATCCGCACTCCGACCGGTGCCACCTCCTCTCAGCTCAGCCCGCTCCCAGTCCCCTCCGCAGTCCGCGCTGACGCCTGGGCGCCTGGCCATGGAGGCAGCAGCCGCCGCCGCTTTGTCCCCTCCCCGCGTCGCCCTAGATGCCCGCACACTCTTCTCGCCGCCTTGTTCCCTCCCCGCCTCGCCCTCATCCCAGCTCCGCCTCGCCGCCCGGCCCCGCGCTCTCGCCGCCGCCAAGCCGCGGTTCCTGAGCCCCCACCGAGAACCCGCCGTCGACGGCGGCTGCGGCGCCAGGGATGTTGTCGCGATGGTACGGTCCGCACTTGGCCGAGCTCCGGGGCGCGAATTCGCCGTGTCTGGAGTGCGATAATAACGCCTAAATAGTGTCTTTGTCTGTTGTTGGCTCCCGCCTGCAGGTGGTGCCGTTCCTGAGGGGAGCCGCGTGGGAGCAGCCACCGCCGGATTTGGCCTCGTTCCTGTACAAGAACCGGATCGTGTACCTGGGGATGTGCCTCGTGCCGTCGGTCACGGAGCTCATGCTCGCCGAGTTCCTCTACCTCCAGTACGACGACGCCGAGAAGCCAATCTACCTGTACATCAACTCCACTGGCACCACCAAGGTTTGGTGCTGCTTCTGATTCACCTTTCCTTGATTTCCTTGTATGGCGATTATTACTTGGTTGTATCCAATGAGTGAGGACGTAGATCGGAGCTCACAGCCAAAATGGAAACACACCTACCTAGGAATAGGAAGACAATAAACATGATAAGGCTAGGAGCTTGAAGTATGCCTGGGTTATTTGACAGACCAATGGCTCCAAAAACCTTTCTGTAGGCTTGAATTGGGCATCAATTTATCTTAGCCTGTGGATTTTTGGTTCTTTAATCATTAGTTTTGTTCACCTAGAATATGTGTAAGTGTATTTGTTTTCTCACCCACCGAACAGAGTTTTCTAAATTTTGTTATAGCAACTTATCTCTAACAATCACAGATTAATTATTGCTCTAATCCAATCTTCATATCATCTGATATGCTTTCTCCCTCCTTATTCAGAATGGCGAGAAGTTAGGTTATGAGACAGAAGCTCTTGCAGTATATGATGCTATGAGGTCAGCTTTGACATACTATGTATTTATACTGCTTTCATGTTCCTTTCAAATCTATTGCTATTCCTAATCCCCCTCTTAATGACTTCACTTGGCTGATGCTTTCCACATGTTCTCGATGTGAACTTGTATTGTAGTTAGCTCATTATAAGAAACATGCCTATTTTTGTGGCTGCCTGGCAAGCATATTGCCTGAAAAACTCACTGAACTGAAATATTTTATTTTCTATGTAGATCGTAGCTCTTTTGTACAAAACAATAGCTATTGAGTCCATGCCACTTATAAGGAACATGCCTGTTTTTGTGGCTGGCAAGCATGTGGCTTGAAAAACTCAGACTGAACTCAAATATTTTATCTTCTATGTAGATCAGAGCTCTTTAGAATGGAAAACAAGCTACTGAGTCCATGCCACTACCCCATTTTTACATCCCACCCATGCCTGCTTACCGACTAGCCCCACTAGAAACGAGGAACTTTGTCCGTGAGGCCGTGACCAAATACTATAACTATAACACTTGTCCAAGTTCTCTTCGGGCCAATTCCATGTTTACTGCACTCCATGTCAAGATGCTATTTTGTCCATTAACTTTTATCGCAATACGTTAGTAATATTAGCATTTTGGAAGTTCTTTTTTAGTAATGAATCTGCCAGTACTTTTTTACTTTAATATGTTGTTAGTTAAAGCTATTAGAGTTCAATCATACTCATATTTCTAAAGTAACATATATAGTGGAATAAAGTGTGAAGCCACATGCTCGGTGATGGTGTTATATATAACTAAAACTACACTTGTTGGACGTCTGAGGTTTTCCCCTTCTATAACTGCTAAACTGATAAGCTTTCTACAAAAAGCAGGGCCAGGTGCCTTTGGTCTAGTAACTGTTAAACTTCAAGATAAGAGCTCAACACAGTAGCCTATGGGACTTTGCTGAGGTTTGAAGTTCCCCAAAATTTTGCGAGTCACACAGAATGACTTTGAAGTCTAGCACATTAAACACTACCAATATAGTTAATAAATAAGAATTAAGGTACAATGTTGATTCAGTTTCTTATATTTTGTCCCCTTGTACAAAATAGAGTAGTCCATTAGGTGTGCCTTCTTCAGTGATTCATAACATGCATTACTTTACTTGTAGTAGTCTGTTAACTTCCCCTTGTTCCAATTGGCATTACCATGCCAGCTCTTATTCCTTTTTTATCTTTAAAAAGAACTATGGAGTACTAGCTTAATATCTCTACCCCCATTGCAGGTATGTTAAAGTTCCTATTTTCACTCTGTGTGTCGGTAATGCATGGGGAGAAGCTGCTTTGCTCTTAGCTGCTGGTGCTAAAGGTAACCGTGCTGCACTTCCATCATCGACAATAATGATAAAACAGGTTATTTCTTTTTCTTCTGTTGATATATATGCATTCTAATTTCTTTGTTATTTGAGGTTAATGCTCATGGCACACAAATAAGAGTAACATTATACTGCAGAACGTACTATGATCTTACACCCTTGCTCCAATACCGTGCTGCACTTGCACATACTTTGTTTATGGACACACAAAATATGTGCAGTATCATTGGTATTTGTTTGCTAATAATGTGAAGCTAGAATGTCTTACCATTGTGACATGCAATGTGCAGCCAATTGGTCGTTTTCAAGGTCAAGCGACAGACGTTGACATTGCAAGAAAAGAGATTCGAAATGTCAAGATAGAAATGGTATTTTTCCATCTCTTGTATGAATAAAGATTTTTTTTGAGGGCATGTATAAATAAAGAATTAATAAAATTATCATGGATTTAAACTAATCTAGCATAGCTAATGCTACCTTGTTTTGAGCAGTTGATATTATTGCTCCACATTATCAATGTACAAACATAGAAAGTTGTGCTTGTGCAGTGTCGAACTTATATTTCTTCAGTTCATTCACTTCATTGGTGATTGGAAGAACTATTGAGGAAAAAAAAGAAAATGACCATCCTACTATCGTTAATACGACCATCCATCCATCCAACTTTTTCCTAGTCTCGAAGTAACTCTTTTCGGTTTCCAAATACAGGCAGTCCACGAAAAGATCACTAATTGCTATTCATGGTTACTGGTTTAAAATGAGTTTCTGTTAAGAAGAGTTTGTACATTGGGAAGCCATCTTTATGGTTTCTGGTTCATAGTGGTAGTCATGTGCCCTGGGAAACCTGGTTGTGCAGGGGAACTATTATGGTTCCCATGCTGCCTTGGTCATGTTCCTGTCTGTATAGAATCACAATGCAGTAAGAAGTACGATTGTTTTGAGACCCAGCACAGGTGTTAAAACTTTTGACCAAGCTTTGTGTGAGAAAAAAAGCAGGGCTTCCATTCTATGGATAGGGAGTTGATTTTTTCTATTTTAGGTATTATTTAATTTGCTATGATCTTATGTCCTCAAAATAAGTGAGATACATGAATGTGGAATTATGTACTTCATGGTTATTTTTTCACTGTATTCCACTTGATGTATATAAGCCATTTTCATCTGTAGTAATCGATCACAACTCAATTTATGAAGTTTACTTACATGGAAGTTATCTGAAGCTTACACCAAAACATTGTAGTGTGTAGTGACCATGGATGTTGAGAACAGTACTTTGGCCTAATGTTAGGAAAACCTGAATCTCTTCTTGGCCTAATGTTGGGTTGTTGGCTGAAACACATTGCATCTAGTTTGAATATACAGATCTCAGTCACTTTGCATTGGAAAAATATATCTCAAAACTGTAGCCTAGATATTTCCTTGCATGAAACTTAGTTGTTCTTTCTTGCTGCAATACCCAATGGGGTGAGAAGTTTCTTCCAGTATACAATTTACTGTCTTAATTTGCGTTCAGGTTAAGCTGCTGGCAAGACACATTGGTAAACCGATTGAAGAGATTGCTCGGGACATCAGACGTCCTAAATACTTTAGCCCCAGTGAAGCTGTGGATTACGGCATCATTGACAAGGTAAACAATCACCACGGCAGACCAGAAGAAACTACTCAATCTGATCTGACAACAACTGCATGTTCTACAGGTGATATACAACGAGAAAATCCAGGAAGATGGCGGTGTCGTGTCAGAACTCAAAAGATCAAATTTGATATAGTGTTCTTTTTTCACAAGTAGACACGTCTTTGTATGTTTAGTGGTCATTCACATGTGTTTGAGTATTGAGTAGTTACTACTCAATCACTCATTAGCTGGCTGTAGAGGCGTAGAGCACATAATTGAGTAGCCAATGCAATGAACAAGCATTTCCTTCCTCTGCCATTTCGACACCGTATTGCCCTTACCCAATGGGCGTGCTGAAAGATGAATTTTGGTAGGTTGTTGAGCGTTGGTGCCCTGTTTGAGTGTTTTAGCTTGCAGGGGAAGCTAATAGTTGGATCGTGGCAATTTACTGTGTGGCTTGTTACAATCTGGACCGTTGATTGTTTCAGCTCAGCTCACAGATTGTTACAGCCTGCAAGTAGCAATCCACAAAATTTCAATAAAGCAAGTAGGGCCTGATCTCCATAATTTGAAGCGAAGGAAAATATAGAAAATTCATAGGGTTTGAACTATGCAGGCGAAAAAGGCGAAAAAAAACCTATGGAATGTGAACCTATAGAATTCTAATGGAATTGCATGTTCATAGAAATTTTGGAGAATTTCTAGCACGCGGTACAGTATTTTGAACAAAAAAGTATTTGTCTTTCTCTTCAGATTCTCGTGTTCTTTTCATTTTTACATCTAAGCAATCATTCTTGCAGTTTTTATGTGCTTTTTTATTGGCTAATTTTGCTCTGGGTATTTATGTTTTCTGTTAGTATTCCCTAGGATTTGATGTATTTAGGCAGTTTAATTCTGTGTTTTCCTAGTGTTGCACCTTGGAAATCCTGTATTACAAATATATTTTAAAATATACCTGTGAAAGTTTTTTTTTATGAATATACTTGTGAAAGTTACCGGTTTGATAGACTTGCTGCATCATGGTGATTAGTGAAGCATGATAAATTTTGGTCGAGGAGACTTTTACCTGATAGCAGCAACATCTCCCGGGCATACAAGTACGATAAATGTTGCAGCAGCATTAATCCGATTTGCGTTTCTTCCAAAAAAAATATTTGATTTGCATGATAAGTGTTGCAAACAAGTACGATTGGTGCAAAAGGTTGGATTGGTGTACAATGGTTAAATACTTTTATTTTGTTCAACTTCTGAAAAAAAAAATCGCTTCCCAGGCATACAGTATGTGTGTGCTTGTTTTGAAAAGCTTCCCCTGTATCGCAAGCAGGCGAACCGCTGCCTAGAGTGTGGTTCGTGAGGCCTTTTCCAGTTCACACTTGCACACATGACACATGCATCTGTGATCTGTCCAATGTTGCAAAGGAAGCCGCCACGACATCCCTCAAAAAGTTGTTGCGAAGCTGCGGGAGCACCAACGCATTTGACATACGACCCTTCAATCAATCAAAGCGAAATCGACCCTGCGTAAAGATGGCAGCGGGCGTGATGCCCGCGGATACCGCCTTCTTATGCATGCGCCCGCCAGCTAAATCTCTTGTCCGCGCCTGCGCCCGCGACCCACCACGGGCAACAAACCACGCCTGCGCCCTCCATCCGCGGGCATGAAATGCCCGCGGGCATGCCCGTGTGCCCGCCAGGTTGAGCATATACATAAACCATAGTGCATTACAAGAGATATGAAGATACATATTCACAACAAATCGTGTATATATACATATATTTGCCTGTAGGTCCCACATGTTAGACATGTGGAGCTGGTCTGGCGGATAAGCGGGCGAGGATAGCAAATTTCTTTACCCGCGAAGAACTATCCTCTGGGTTCAGGATGGTGCCCGCACCCGTGCCCACGGGCAAGAAGTGGTGCCCGTATCCTTGCCCATCAGGTTCCATGCCCGCGGGCATGCGGGCATTCTGTGCCCGTTGCCATCTTTAACCCTGCGCCCGGCGTGACATGGAATCGCACCCGCACCAGTCGAGCAAGAGCGGCAGCGGCAGCAACCGTGGAGCCATGGAGGAGGAGGACCGGCTGAGCAGCCTCCCCGACGATCTCCTCGACGCTATCCTCCGCGCCCTCCCGCTGAAGCAGGCCGTCCGCACCAGCGCGCTCTCCCGGCGGTGGGCGCGCCAGTGGCTCCGCACGCTGGCCGCCTCCCGTGTCCTCGACCTCAACGACCGAGCCTTGGCCCGCGGCCAGCCGCCGGCGCGGGCCGCGGCCACGGTGAGTCGCTGCCTCCGGCTCCACGCCGAGCACGGCTCGCCGCTCGACGTGCTCCGCGTGGCGCTGGCGTCGCCGCCGTCGTCAGGGGCGGCAGGGCCGAGCGACGGCGCGTTCGGGCGGGACGTCATCGGGTGGATCGCGGCCGCCGTGAGGAGGGGCGCCAGGGAGGTCGAGGTGGACGTCCTGCACCTGACGCCGTCGCAGGACGACCACGACTCCGACGCGGCCTTCCTGGAGCTCCCCGGCGACCTGTTCCAGGCCAGGAACTCGCTGGAGCGGGTCGCGTTCGGCGGGTTCAGCCTCCGCGCCGTCCGGCTCCCCGCGGCGGGCCTCGCCGGCCTCCGCTCGCTCTCCCTCAGCAACGCCGACCTCACCGACGAGGCGGTCCGGGGCATTCTCGCCGGCTGCCGGGCGCTGGAGTCCCTCAGCCTCAGGAGCTGCCCCCTGCTCACCTCGGTGAGTGTCGCCAGCGAGCGGCTGCGGGACCTGCAGCTACTGGGCTGCCGCACCGTGCAAGAGCTCCGGGTCGCCGCACCCGCGCTGGAGTCGCTCACCCTGTACGGCCACGTCTGCTGGAGCGAACCGGACCAGAGCTGGCAGGAGGCCAACCCTGTTTGCTTCGACTTCGGCGACATGCCGGTGCTGCGGGACGCGTACCTGTCGCACCTCGGCTGTGGCGACTACAACATCGTCCACGACATGGCTTACCCCTGCCTGTACTACGTCGTCGCGCATGCCCGGGTCTTGACGCTTTGCTCCATCGGCTTGCTGGTACCGATTTCTCGCTCACAAACACTGTACAATTCAGTACTTCAGTAGACACTGCACGGAAGAAGATAACAGGCTAATTATGTACTGTTGTCGGTCAGCTTCTTTACCAACACGGCTGGGATGAGAGCGCATTTAGGGAGATGCCGAAGCTAGAAGAGCTGCAGCTGCTGCTGGCCTCCCCAGAGCCATGTTTCTACTGGGACAATGAAGACCAGGAGCACGTGTCCAGTTTCTTCATGCTCACGCCGCTTCCGGTCCTCCAACGTCTCTTTCTCCGCTTATGTAAAGCGCTCTCTCTCTTGCCCAAACTGAACTTTGATGAGTTTGCACCTCTGAACTGAGAAAAATGTGTTCAATTTGGACCTGAATGCATGCTGAATCTGTCTGCAGCTCCCCAGCGATCCTGGATACGGATGGAACAGCAAGGCAGCAGCGCGTGCAGACGAGACCGACGGCGCAGACATGACACTCGAGCACGAGATCGTCCTTCACCAGCTGACCTTCATCAAGGTTGTGAATTTTAGGGGGACAAGGCGAGAGTGCGGCTGCTCACCTTCTTCCTGAAGAGGGCCCCTAGCCTGGAGCGGCTGGTGCTGCTCACTCCGGAAGGAGAGAAACCTCCGGCAGACGAGCAACTAAAAGCCATGCCAGAGCGGGTGTCGGAGTTGCAGAGGTCGTCGCTCGAGGCACGCGTCTCCGTGTGCCAGCCCAAGGAAGACGATAGCCCGAACCATGCACACACCGGGTTCTTCCACGAGGATGATGAGTATGTAGCTAACTAAACTATGCATGCACCGATCAGGCCTGAAATGCAAAACCTTTCGCATGAGCGCCCGTGGAGCTTAGCGGATGCTTCTGATCGGTAGTTTCTCTGCTGTCCGTAGTACATATTTGCAGGCTTTTTCAGTCTTGGTTCCGTCTGGTCAACTACAGTTTTGTCTTGGGGCTCATTTGTGCTTTAAACTTTCGCCTCGTCGCCTATGTCGTAGGTACGAAATAGGCAACTGGACGTGAACGTCTTCTATGTATTGTGTCATATAAATTCTTGAGTTCCAGTGCTTCACTTTCCACTGTTTGTTTTTTCAAACCCATGTACTTTGTTACCGTCAATGTTGGTCGTTTTTTTATGTCCGTGTTATTACTGGCTCCCCTAGTCATAGACATTGTTATATATTTTTCTTTTTTTTTTATTTTCTACACTGTTTTTAATATCTCTATATTGGTTGGATGTTTTAGCTATAGAACCTTGATCATCTTTATTGGATATTATTTTTTTTTCTAGTTATGTATTGTCGATCTTATTTTTTTTAAATCTGTGTTATGCTATTTTTTCGTTATTTTTTTATGTTCTATACTTTTTCTAATTTCTTTTTAGATTGTTCCTATCGTTAGGCTGTTTAGCTACAGAACTAGGATAATCTTTATTAGACAATCATTTAATTTTGTAGTTCTGTATGGCTGAAGATATTTTCCATCTTTATACTTTTTGTTATTTTAGTTTTTTGTTAAGAAAGATGATTGCCCTTTGTTGTTCTTATTATCTTTAGCTTAATTTTGTCGTATGCCTTTCTTCTTTGATTTACATTTTATCTTCACTATGAGTTTCACTATGTTTTTTATTTTCGTGTCACTTTTTTATCTTAATTGGTGATGGTTCTAGTCACTAATTATGACTAAATAATTACATATTTTATAGACACTATCTGTCATGCTCGTTCTAGTCACTCACTATTCCTATATCATAACTAATGATCATTTTAAAGTTCAGTACTTCTAAACATTAGAAGTATTTTTGATGAATTTGTTTGGATTGAGAAGTGCTGATTGCACAAAAAAATTGTGTCCTAATTAGATAAGATCAAAATGTAGGTTCCTTTCAAGCTAGTGACAGTGGTAATCAAAACCAATAGGTTGTTGAGATTCTACAGGAGTAAACAAGTGTGCCTAGTACACATGTCACAGTTTTCATTGTACACTAGCTTTAAAGGACATCACATTGTTCATGCTGCTTTCTGCGTCGGCTATCTCTTCCAAGGGAAAATGGAGTGCGCTGCTCTGCTCTGTGACATGTCTATCTCAGACAAGACCGAAGATGTGGTGCGGTACCTTAAAGGATGGTGAACTGCGATTCCCTATACAGCGTTCTGGTGAATAGCATTGGTGGACGACAAAAAAATGGCACAAAAATAAACTATCGCCTATTATATGCTTTTCGTATTCCTAGTATCTCAGAATGATTTGAATTGGTTATAACCAACTAGCAGTGTTAAAAGAAGACAAAGTAATGGCTCAAAAAAGAAAAGGGATCTAGTTGACAGCACAATGTGTTATCATGTTTGAGAAGTGTAACTCTTTTCATGTATCGTCCTGATTTTTGTTCAATAGTTTGTAAACAAATTGCAATATACCTATTATTGGAGGAGTTGATTTAAACAGGAATGTTGGTTTCCTTTCTTATGTTTGGAATAGCAGAGCTTTTCTAAGCATGGGCAACAACTTTTGAACACAATGCCCTCCAAAGTCCACCTAGGACCTCATAAAATAGTTGTGTTGAGTGTGTTGTGGCCTCACTATATTTTCAAAACAAGAACGTATATTAAAACAATCTAGCAAAAGGAATCAAGATTCAAATATACGGCACAAATAATCCATCCTAATATGTAAAAACAGAAAAATAAGAAAATTCAACAGTGGCGAAAAGAAGCTCGCCAAAATTTAAAATATCAACTTTTACATCAAATCCATCCAAAAAAAGTACCTCGGCCAGCAGTCGAAGTGGAGTGTTGATTGATGCAATAGCACCTCCGACCTCCATCTCTTTCGTTTCTCCTTCGATGCTCTCGATCTATAAGAGTTCATACAAGAGAAATGTTTATTTATGTGATAGTTCGAACTAGAGGGGAAACAAAATGCATTGAAGACAACATACAACTTTTACAGAGGGATCCGGAAGACGGATGCTGGATGGAAGAGTACTGGGACTACAAGTGACTAACAAGCGAGGTGCAAGGATGCGGATGAAGTTGGAAGAAGAATGGGGAAGCAATAGTGAGCCAAGGAAGAATGCAACCAACGGTAGTTATTTTCTTCCTGTACCCTTAGGAATAACATTTTTTTTCGGCCACCAATGCTATTCACCAGAACGCTGTATAGGGAGTCGCAGTTCACCATCCTTTACAGGTACCGCACCACGTCTTCGATCTTGTCTGAGATAGACATGTCACATAGCAGAGCATCAAAGAGCAGCGCACTCCCTTTTCCCTTGGCAGAGGTAGCCGACGCAGAAAGCAGCATGAACAGTGTGATGTCCTTTAAAACTAGTATACAATGAAAACCGTGACATGTGTACTAGGCATACTTGTTTACTCCTGTAGAATCTCAACAACCTATTGACTTTGATTACCACTGTCACTAGCTTGAAGGGAACCTACATTTTGATCTTATCTAATTAGGACACAATTTTTTTTTGCAATCAGCACTTCTCAATCCAAACAAATTCATCAAAAATACTTCTAATGTTTAGAAGTCCTGAACTTTAAAATGATCATTAGTTATGATATAGGAATAGTGAGTGACTAGAACGAGCATGGATAGATAGTGTCTATAAAATATGTAATTATTTAGTCATAATTAGTGACTAGAACCATCACCAATTAAGATAAAAAGTGACACGAAAATAAAAAAACATAGTGAAACTCATAGTGAAGATAAAAAGTAAACCAAAGAAGAAAGGGATACGGCAAAATTAAGCTAAAGATAATAAGAACAACAAAGGGCAATCATCTTTGTTAACAAAAAAACTAAAATAACGGAAAGTATAAAGATGGAAAATATCTTCAGCCGTACAGAACTACAAAATTAAATGAGTGTCTAATAAAGATTATCCTAGTTCTGCAGCTAAACAGCCTAACGATAGGAACAATCTGAAAATAAATTAGAAAAAGTATAGAACATAAAAAAATAACGAAAAATATAACAATGTACATGACTGGAGGAGACGAGCATGACACAGATTTAAAAAAATAAGATCGACAATACATAACAAGAAAAGAATATTATCCAATAAAGATGATCAAGGTTCTGCAGCTAAAACATCCAACCAATATAGCAATATTAAAAACAGTGTAGAAAATAAGAAAGAAAAATATATAACAATGTCTATGACTGGGGGAGCCAGGAATAACACGGACATAAAAAATGACAAACATTGACGGTAACAAAGTACATGGGTTTAAAAAAACAAACGGTGGAAAGCGAAGCACTAGAACTCCAGAATTTATATGACACAATACATAGAAGGCGTTCACGTCCAGTTGCCTATTTCGTACGTACGACATAGGCGACGAGGCAAAAGCTTCAGGCACAAATGAGCCCCCAAGCAAAACTGTAGTTGACCAGGCGGGACCCAAGACTAGAAAAGCCTGCAAATATATACTACAGATAGCAGGGAAACGACCAATCAGAAGCATCCGCTAAGCTCCACGGACGCTCATGCGAAAGGTTTTGCATTTTACATTTTGAAATCGAAGCACTGTAAGAATGAGGTCAGAATCCAGGCACAAAATCGAGGCAAAGATTGAGGCCGTAAAACAAGTCGAGGCAGTCGTTGACCGGTGTGGAGCCCATGTGAATAAATAATTCGGTAGCTACATGCAGCTGTGGACCCGGCACAGATCTCAGCGTACTCTGTACCGTTAAGATAAGCTCCGTGGGCGCTCATACGCAAGGTTTTTTCAGTCTGCCAATCAGGCATATGATTTGACGATATATAATCACTGCAGCTCTTGTACCAAAAATTAAGGTGTTAGATCGGCCTGCTCTACTCTCTCTTTTAGCATTGTATACGGTTCCAAATTATAAGTTATTATATCTTAATTTGTCTGAAGACAAACTTTTTGTAACTCTGACCAAATCTATACCAAAAACCATAAACAGATACAAAGTCAAACAATATTCATTTGATACATTATGAATTATATTTCAATCCAACATTTATTTGACATTATACTACCTGTCCGGTGCAATTCTAGCATTCAAATATTGTCTAAAAAAATACAACTCTATCTTCATACTAGTTTGTGGGACCCTCAACCCTAGAAATGATGTCCTAAAATGAAGCATCATATGAATGTATGATGCTGCCAACCATAGTAAATGTAAAAAGTTGTATTATTTATAGAGCAGAGAGAGTATATGTTAATACATTTTCTATAAACTTGTCAAAGTTAGACAAGTTTGACCCCAAAACAAAACTAAAACGACTTGGGCCTCCTCTAAACTTTAGAGCACTAAAAGCTTTAGAGCATTTTAACTCACTTTTGAGCTCTAAAGCTCTAATATGAGGTGGGCTAAGGATTAGAGCTAACTTTAGATCACTTGTTCAGAGCTTTAGCTCTAAAGTTTAGATATGGAAATCCAGACATGCCTTTAAAATTTGAACGGAAAAAGTACAATCCACAAATGAAAAAAGTACAATCCACAAATGAGTATGATGTATGCAAACGATAAGGACATGTTTCTTTAAACTTTGTTTTTCAAAGCTATATATGTTGCAAAAGTTGCCTTTTGAAAAGCTGGAAAAGCTATATTTATGGATTGAGTTTTAATAAATAAATTGTTTGATATGTCTAATATCCTCCAAATAATATCTTACAAAACCTAGCAAAAACACTTCTAGTCTACCTTATGCCTTCTAAGGGCAGCTCTAGTATATAATTTTCTAGTAAGATGCAAGGTGGCATGTCACAACTCACAAGGTGTTGTCCTAGTTAAACAAGTCAAA